CTTGGGCAGGGAGGCTCGCGAGCCCGAGCTCTGCGTCGTCATGGTGAGCACGGTCGTGATGCCCAGCGCCACGCGCGCCGGAGCCGCGTCCATGTTGATCCAGAAGGAGACCCAGGAGAGGATGACGATGAGCAGGCTCGGAATGTACATCTGGATCAGGTAGTAGCCCATCTGCCGCTCCAGGTGAAACTTCGCTTCGATGCAGGTGAACTTCCCTGGAGAGGGGAACAGGTGTCCACGGAAACATTCTTGGTTTTAAACTAAAGTATAAAACTATGTAAACTATGATTTTTTTTTATTTTACCAGGTAAGGCCCACCGAGCTACAATATAACTTTTTTTCAGAAGCGACCTGGCATCACAGCTCAACGAAGTGGCTTGTCATCATTGCATGGAAATTTACAGCAGCCCAAAATACTCTAAAAACGCGACGTTCATTCTAAACGTGAAAGGGGGATAAACCAGAGGACCCAGAGAAAAATCCACACGACTATGAGGAGAGAGAGACACGCAAACTCCAAACATAGACGTCAGGGCCGGGATCGAACCCACGACTTCATGGATACTAGGCGAGGAAGTTAACATCTCCTAGCCACAGCGGCACTCCTTTAATTCCCCCATCCTCCTTCGCAGGCCATCAGCGAGACATCAGAAGTTCAGGCGCAGCATTGAGAGCACTGCACCCGGAAGACGTGATACACCTCGCGACTAGAATACCGCAACATTAACAACAACAGCAGCCGCAGTCGCTGTTGAAGATGATTCCATTCCATTCTACTTTAGATTCATAAAGTGCCTTGTGCCAAGAAAGGTGCGCATTGAGGCCGCTTGAAGTGTTGAATGCTTGCCTGACAGGAGGTCACGGGACAGTCCCAAATGGCAGGGGTTAACTGCCGGAGATGACATTACTGCCTGGGACTGATATTTGTGGTCCATAGTCTGGGTTCGCTTGGCCACAATCGCAACTGCGGTTTGTCTTTAACACGTCGCTACGGGCCTCTCTGAGTCGCTATATGTCTCGATGTGTCTCTATGTGTCCCGTATATTCGGTGTTTGAATGTTCTCCCCTTGGCTGCATGAGGGCAGCCATTTTTCGATTTAAAGCTGCTTTCGTGACTGCAGGGATTCATCTTCTTGGTTCTTTCGGTAAAGTCACGTAAAAGGGAAGTAATAAAATAATAAAAATTAAAACACAATAAAATAATTCTCACGACGTTTCGGCCACAACGCAAGCAGCCGTCCTCAGGTAAAAACCAGGTCCGTCGAGGCGATAGAGTCTGAATGAAACAGCACACGAGCAGCTTATATATATGCTCCAAGCTCGTGTGCTGTTTCATTCAGACTCTGTCGCCTCGACGGACCTGGTTTTCACCTGAGGACGGTTGCTTGCGTTGTGGCCGAAACGTCGTGAAAATTATTTTATTGTGTTTTATTTTTATTATTTTATTACTTCCCTTCTACGTGACTTTACCGAAAAAACCAAGAAGATGGCAGCCATTTTCTGACTTGGTTGGTCACACACACACACTTACAAACATCACGGATCCCCAGTTGGAATTTGAAAAATAAACGTACGCGTTTGTTTTCACACCTGCATTGTCCAGCTTTCTCTCGCGTCACTTTCCGGCAATGCTCTGTGGCTGCAGCCAGCTACATTTTATCCAGCGATGTGTTCAGCCGCGCAGCGGCGGCCACGCGTGCCTCTACTTCAGCACTACGGAGGTAACAATGTCCGTGTGGCACTCCCTTCCCGCGCATGTCCAAGGGGAGCCATGCCCTGGGCTCACAGGGAGAACTCGCGAACGGCAGAGTGTGGACTCCGCTTACTTCATCTCCGTGGGATCGAGCGTTGCCCCCTCGCACGTGCGTGCGGGGGGGTTTTCTCTGGGTGCTCTGGGTTTTTTTTCCCACATGGAGGAACTCGTCCATTGGCCGACAACGCCTTCACGTATACAGAGGACCGCAGCGCATGGCGAGGAAATTTTGGCACGGGATGACTACGTGGCTGCTTTCCAACTTGTCTGCGATTCCTCCTCGTACCTCTCTCTCTCTCTCTGCGAGATCGAGCGAACGCTCTGAGACGGCGCATCATGCAGTTGAAATTATTCTACGAAATACAGGAATATAAATCGTGCGCTACAGGGCCCGAGAATGTGAAATGGCAAGATTTAAATTTTGTCGGCGAGAATCTTCGGCCCCGATTTTCACCCCCCCGGTGCCTTTGAAAAGTCAAACTCACATCAAACAACAGAGATTGCCATGCACCTCAGAACCGAGAGAGAAGGGAAAACAAAACAAAAAGAATGTACGCGTAACAACATGGATTGTTGCGATTCACGACATTGAGAGAGGGTGACGACGGCTTGGGGAGAGGCAACCCGATCGATTCGTGTCTGATGACGAACAACAGCAGCTCGAATACCGGTGTTGTAGTGCTTGGTGCAGTAGAGCAAGTCCTGCTCGTCCTTGAGGGCGAACTGCGGCAGGGTCAGCCCCTCGGCCACCTGGACGGCCCCCTCCGATTTCCACTCGAAGATCAAGTCGTTCATCGTGTATCCAACTGGAGGGACGCACACAACGCACGACACGCACGGCTGATGCCAGACACAAATGTCCCCCCCGCTCACCCCTCCCCCCCCCGCCCAGCCAGCCCCGCGTAGCCTTGAACAGAATGTTGGTGTTCTTAGGTTTTTTTCGGTAAAGTCACGACAAAATTTTTTTTAAAAACCTAAGAATATGAATCCTTGCAGTCACGAAAGCTTCAAATCTAGAATGTTGGTGGGCGAGTTGCACCGACGGGTGGTCAACACCCAACACGGTGCCCGGCCGCCTTCATCTCCTGCACGGCTCGTGTTTACACACCGCACACGGGTGCTCATTTAAGGCCGAGTAAACCTTGGGGAGGGCCCAGGGCCAGTTCAGACATTCGCCGCTGTCATTGGTCGGGCACTGAAACTCGGGTCACCGGGTTCGTAGTGCAGTCTGCTTAGAGCCTCCGATTCGCACGGTTGGCTACGCACGGTTGTGAAAGGAGTTCAAGATACATACATATACGACAAAGATCCCCCGTATAGGCTTAAGTGACTGTTGGGGCAAGTGCTGTTAATGGTCACAGCATTTGCGTCAGGAGACTGTGTGGGCTACACGTGGGGGGGTGGGGCGGTCAGAGGGACAAAGACAAAGATCCCCCGTATAGGCTTAAGTGACTGTTGGGGCAAGTGCTGTTAATGGTCACAGCATTTGCGTCAGGAGACTGTGTGGGCTACACGTGGGGGGGTGGGGCGGTCAGAGGGACAAAGACAAAGATCCCCCGTATAGTCTTTACAGACTGTTGGGGCAAGTGCTGTTAATGTGTAGCACCTATGAAGATTGGTACGGAACACGAGGGGGTGGGTGGCCAGCACCACGCCCGACCGCCTTTGTCTCCCCATTTGGCGATGTTCACTACAAACCGCACCAGGTACTCATTTTCGGCTGAGTCGACCTAGGGGAGGCGCAGGACCGATTCAGATAATCGTCACTAGTGTTGGGCTTGAGCGAGAATCGAACTCGGGTCGCCGGGTTCGTAGCGCAGCGTAGCGCTAAGCACTGCACCACCGCTCCCCACTCGCCCGCACACACACACAGTATTTATTCAGTATTCATAATCCGACTTAGAGTCTAGGAATGATTTTTTTGTATGGGGTTTTTCCAAGTTTATTTTAATCATCTAGTTATTTAGTTTATTCTGCATACAGCACAGTCCTTATTTTAATTGCGGTGTGTCTATCTTTGGTTGCCATGGACCCAACCCCATCATTTAGGTTAAAGCCCCGAGTATTCAATATCGCGGTTTTGGCTTTGGGGCCGTCCATAAATGACGTCACGCACCTAAAGGGGGGGGGGGTCAGACATTTGTGACGATGTGTGACAAGGGGGGGGGGTTGAGAAATGTGACGTCACATCAAAATGCACAAATTTAAATAAACATAGACAACACGTTCTACTTAATTAAATAGACTTTTTGATAAATGTTTCTCCTACCACATCAGAGTGCAGCGCCACATTAAATACGCACGACAATGACAATAGTTTAAAGCGATTTGAAGCATGGTTTATTTTGGGTGGGGGGGGGCAGAGCTTTGTGACGTCATATTTGAGGGAGGGTCTAACTTTGTGACGTTTTGTCAAAAATCGTCCAAAATCGCGTGACGTCATTTATGGACGGCCCCTTTCGCGGCACTTTCCAAGAACGTGAGCCACCACGATATTCAAGAGCCTCCCGCACAAGCACATCAATACCAAAACCCGCCACTCGCCACCGAGTGACGGTGACGTCACCGCGGCGCTTGTGCCAGGCTAGGTGCACTTTAAGGCCATGTGAAGTGTCGAACGTCCCCGCTGGCAGGAGGTCACGTGACAGCTCCAGGTGCCATGGGTTGACTGACTTTAGAGGTGTCAGTTTAACACGTAAGGCTTTCGCGACCAATATTATCCAGGTTTTTGGGTTCGATCGCGTTATTTATAAATGTGTCGTAACCCTCCACCACCCGACATGGCTAATCAGTAAAAAAAATGAGTCACGTTTACAAAGGACAAATAGTTCACTACTTTAACCCACCGGTGTGTTGAAGAGTGTATCAACATCATTTAAAATTTGAGTAGTACGACGTTTCGCTGGTAATTACATCCAGCATCATCGGGCAATTTGCCAGAATGGTGAGGCCCCCCCTCCACTTGCTCCCGGTCTTAAATAGAGCAGCAGCAAGGGTGACGTCATCATTTAATTCATTCTGGTGCAGTAATTTGAGGCGGAGAAGGGGAGGTTATTGTAATTATACAATAGATTGGTAATCATTAAATTGTTATTCATTGCTATGTGTTTCCCTCGTAAGGAATTGTAATGGTATTCTATACACACACACACGCGCGCGCGCGCACGCGTTCACACACGCGCCACGGCGCCGGTCGAAAACATTTATTAAAAAGTCTATTTAATTAGGTAGAACGTGTTGTCTATATTTATTTAAAGTTGCGCATTTTTACGTGACGTCACAAATGTCTGACCCCCCCCACCTCCCCTAGGTGCGTGACGTCATTTATGGACGGCCTCTTAAGGCCATGTGAAGTGTCGAACGCCCGCTGGCAGGAGGTCACGGGACAGCTCCAAGTGCCATGGTTTGATTGCCATGAGATTTGCCGCACACATGCACACATACACACATACACGCGCACGCGTTCACACACGCACGCGGACACGGACGTTCCGCCACGAGGGGCAACTCACAGCTCTCGAGCTGCATGGCACACGTCTGCACGTCCATGGGGAAGTTCTTCAGGTCCATTGGGCAGGAGAGAGTCAGGGTGAGTCTGCGTGTGCACACAAACGCGCATTTCAAACGACAACGAGTGAGCGTGTGTGCGTGGTGAAATTCTTTCGCACTCTACGTAGACAACACGCCGCACCAGGTAGTCATTTGAGGCCGAGTCGACCTAGGGGAGGCCCGGGGCCGATTCAGATCATCGTCACCGGTGTCGGCGTTGAGCGAGAATCGAATTCGGGTCGCCGGGTTCGTAGCGCAGCACGCTAACCGCTGCACCACCGCTCCCCACTTTCATGTACGTTGAACTTCCTTCGCGCCGTATGTGGCCAACCGCGCTAATCGGAGAAGCACGCCTCTGAGAGCGCCGGGCAACGATGCGGTGACGACCGCCATCTTGGTTTGATGGCCGAGCCCAGAGGTTGCAAACGGGTTTTGATTCCTTACCCGTACCCGGCCGCACCAGGGTCGCAAACGGCTACCCGTACCCGGCCGTACCCGTACCCTACCCGTACCAGGCCGGGTACGGGTAGGGTACGGGTATCGGGTACCTGATTGCGACCTCTGGAATGAAGCCACGTTGCAGGCGCGGGTGGGTTGATTCTAGGAACTTGAATTGTGAGAAGAGACAAGACGTTGGGAAATGAGTGACAAACAGTTACTCACCAGTGACTCACGGTCTACCCGTACCCGTACCCGGCCGCACCAGGGTCGCAAACGGGTACCTGTACCCGGCCGGGTACGGGTAGCCGGGTATCGGGTAGGGTACGGGTATCGGGTACCCGGTTGCGACCTCTGGCCGAGCCCAAAAGCCGCCGATGCTGCGAGGACGACCGGGAGAGACCCACCGGGTCACCCAATGGGCCTTGATTTTCACCAAAATCGGACCGCAGGCAAGTTCTGTGGCCACGGTGAAATTTACTTCATGCGGAGTTTATTCACGTTCATCTCACTACGTACTCTCAATTCGTGTAACAGCCATCAATAAAAACATGTTACTTTAAGGAGCCTTCATTAAACCCGAGGCCACATTCCATCGTCGTCTATTACAACAACCAACAGAGAGGCCAATGGTCAGAAAAGTAAAAAAAAAATTTTGAAATTAAAATCATTCGAATAGCTTTGGCCAAACGTTGCAACTGCCCCACGCTTAGGATCTAGGCCTGACTCTCCTTGCTCGCATTGCACTGCTGCTGGAAGGGGCCTGCATTTGATTCGATTTGATTTGAAAATGGCTCCATCCCCACCTCCCTTCACTGACAGTGGGGGGTGGGGGGGGAGGGTTTAACATGACGGTGATGCGTTTTGGCTGCTTCATCAACAAGTCAATCTGGCCCAGCGCCTGTGGAATTATACAAAAAAAATCGCCAGAGCCCATTAGAAACCAGCACCCCCAGCCCAAACAGCCCCTTGCAGCAACGGAGAACTAATAAACGCCCATCAGGCAGCTCTGACTGCAGCGCAGCATTTTCTCTCAACCGCCCTACCAACAGCTATACCCAAAGGGCTAAATTCTAGCATTCATCATCATCATCGCCACCAACAGCCATGATCTGTATACTGCAGGATGAAAACTCTCCCTACATCATCGCCCCCCGCCCCACCCCTCCCACAGTCTTGCGATGCCACAAATCCTTCTCGCTCCTCCACACACCGGCGGATCCCATCGCTTCTTCTCCGTGGCAGACGTGCGTCTCATCCGGGGGGGTGCGCGGTTTTTCCCTCCTTTGGCTACCGCTTCCCCGCTAGTCTCGACCATCAGGCAATCAACCCATCCATGGAGGTGTCGTGGGCCCGTCACAAGCCCCCACTCGCCGGACTTTAATGGTCGATTCGGTACACAATTAAAAAAAAAAGGTGCTTTTTTTTGGTTGGGTTAAATCGCGTAAATATAAACGTGTCGTTAACCCACGACCACCGCCGCCCGACACAGCCAATTAGTCAATGTCGTGTCACGCAAACAAAACGTGGAGAGTAAACCTATGAGCATTTAAACCGAGTCCTCGAATTGTAAACGTTGCTCCGATTTAAAATCAGAATCTTCATTTATCCGATTAACTATACCTCTCTTTTTAACAGATATCTAATAAGGGGCACATTGTCAGCACGGGACGACAACAATACAGAAACACGACAGGGGCGCAAAGTATAGGAAAGGCACGACGCTTCGCTTGGCGGTTACAGCAACCGGCTTCATCAGGTAATTTGCCAGAATTGTGAACGGACTCGTCAATATGGCGTTGTTCGCTTCCTCTAAAATTCTAGAGTGATTCCCAGCATGCAACGTTGTGCGCTCGTCAGTTTTTGTCCCGGTTTCTTTGTTGCTGCCATCGTTTTCCGATACACGTCACGGCAGGCAAAACACACAGCATACACACACAGCACTACACACACAGCACTACACACACAGCACTACACACACAGCACTACACACAGCAGCACTACACACACAGCACTACACACACAGCACTACACACAGCAGCACTACACACACAGCACTACACACACAGCACTACACACAGCATACACACAGCATACACACAGCATACACACAGCAGCATACACACAGCATACACACAGCATACACACACAGCACACACATAGCATACACACAGCATACACACAGCATACACACAGCACACACACAGCAGCATACACACAGCATACACACAGCATACACACACAGCACACACACAGCATACACACAGCATACACACACAACATACACACAGCATACACACAGCATACACACAGCATACACACACAACATACACACAGCATACACACAGCATACACACAGCAGCATACACACAGCATACACACAGCATACACACAGCATACACACACAACATACACACAGCATACACACAGCATACACACAGCAGCACTACACACAGCATACACACAGCATACACACAGCACACACACAGCATACACACACAACATACACACAGCATACACACAGCATACATACGGCACACACACAGCATACACACACAGCACTACACACAGCAGCACTACACACACAGCATACACACAGCATACACACAGCATACACACAGCACAGACACAGCATACACACAGCATACACACACAACATACACACAGCATACACACAGCAGCACTACACACAGCATACACACAGCATACACACAGCATACACACAGCATACACACAGCATACACACACAACATACACACAGCACACACACAGCATACACACACAACATACACACAGCATACACGCAGCATACACACAGCATACACACATCAGCACTACACACATCAGCACTACACACACAGCATACACACAGCATACACACAGCACACACACATCAGCACTACACACATCAGCACTACACACAACAGCACTACACACAACAGCACTACACACAACAGCACTACACACAACAGCACTACACACAGCATACACACGGCACACACAGCACACACACAGCATACGCACAGCATACACACAGCATACACACAGCACACACACACGGCACACACACACGGCACACACACACAACATACACACAGCACACACAGCACACACACAGCATACGCACAGCATACACACAGCATACACACAGCACACACACACGGCACACACACACGGCACACACACACAACATACACACAGCACACACAGCACACACACAGCATACACACAGCATACACACAGCACACACACACGGCACACACACACAACATACACACAGCACACACAGCACACACACAGCATACACACAGCATACACACAGCATACACACAGCACACACACACGGCACACACACACGGCACACACACACAACATACACACAGCATACACACAGCATACACACGGCACACACACACGGCACACACACACGGCACACACACACAACATACACACAGCACACACAGCACACACACAGCATACACACAGCATACACACAGCATACACACAGCACACACACACGGCACACACACACAACATACACACAGCACACACAGCACACACACAGCATACACACGGCATACACACAGCACACACACACGGCACACACACAACATACACACAGCACACACAGCACACACACAGCATACACACAGCATACACACAGCACACACACAGCACACACACACGGCACACACACACAACACACACACAGCACACACAGCACACACACAGCATACACACAGCATACACACGGCACACACACAGCACACACACACGGCACACACACACAACATACACACAGCACACACAGCACACACACAGCATACACACAGCATACACACAGCACACACACAGCACAGACACAGCATACACACAGCACACACACACACAACATACACACAGAATACACACAGCACACACACAACAGCATACACACAGCATACACACAACATGCACACAGCACACACACAGAATAGACACAGCAGCAATACACACAGCATACACACAGCATACACACACAGCACACACACAACATACACACACAGCATACACACAGCACACACACACAGCACACACACACAGCAGCAATACACACAGCATACATACGGCACACACACACGGCACACACGCGGCACACACACAGCATACATACAGCACACACACAGCACACACACACAGCATACACACAGCATACACACAGCACACACACAGCACACACACACACACAACATACACACAGCATACCCACAGCATACACACAGCATACACACAGCACACACAGCACAGACACAGCATACACACAGCATACACACACAGCATACACACACAGCATACACACAGCATGCACACAGCATACACACACAGCAACACACACAGCACACACGCAGCACACACGCAGCACACACAGCACACACGCAGCACACACAGCATACACACACAGCATACACACACAGCATACACACAGCACACACACAGCACACACACAGCACAGACACAGCATACACACACAGCACACACACAGCACACACACAGCACACAGACACAGCACACACAGCATACACACACAGCATAGACACAGCACACACACAGCATACACACACAGCACAGACACAGCATACACACACAGCACACACACAGCACACAGACACAGCACACACAGCATACACACACAGCATAGACACAGCACACACACAGCATACACACAGCATACACACAGCACAGACAAAGCACACACACAGCACATACACACAGCACACACACAGCATACACACAGCATACACACAGCACACAGACACAGCACACACAGCATACACACACAGCATAGACACAGCATACACACAGCACACACACAGCACAGACACAGCACACACACAGCATACACACAGCATACACACAGCAAACACAGCGCAAAGCACACACAGCACACACACACAGCATACACACAGCATACACACAGCACACACACAGCATAGACACAGCACAGACACAGCAGCATACACACAGCATACACACAGCAAACACAACACAGACAAAGCACACACACAGCACACACACACAGCACACACACAGCACACACACAGCACACACACACAGCACACACACAGCACAGACAAAGCACACACACAGCACACACACAGCATACACACACATCATACACACAGCACACACACAGCACACACACAGGGGGTGCGTGGATCCCAGCATGCATGGCACTTAGAGGAAGACCCCCGAGGGATTGGCAATTCTGGTCGATGCCAGCTGGCTAGACGGTATTGCCTCGTTATCCACGAACTTGGTAAATTCGCATCAGGAACTCTACACTGATTGCTGCATCGAGAGAGACAGAGAAATAAAGTGGTGAGAGATAATGTGATTAGAGATAAAGTGGTGAGAGAGATAAAGCGATGAGAGATAAAGTGATGAGAGAGATAAAGTGACGAGAGAGATACAGTGATGAGAGATAAAGTGATGAGAGATAAAGTGAAGAGAGATAAAGTGATGAGAGATAAAGTGATGAGAGATAAAGTGAAGAGAGATAAAGTGAAGAGAGATAAAGTGATGAGAGATAAAGTGATGAGAGATAAAGTGATGAGAGATAAAGTGAAGAGAGATAAAGCGATGAGAGATAAAGTGATGAGAGATAAAGTGACGAGAGATAAAGTGACGAGAGACAAAGCGACGAGAGATAAAGTAACGAGAGATAAAGTGACGAGAGATAAAGTGATGAGATGAAAGTAAGTTAATTTATAAACTATTCTTTAATATCTATAATTATTTACTGTGTTATTATGATGACTCGCGCGTATTTAACAGCTTACTTACGTACATAGTAAATTTCATTCATTCAAAACGATAGGGTTTCGTAGGCCCAATATCATTGGCGGTACAAATGTGCTGCTCAAGGGCATTGCCGGGAACGTAATGACGAAGGAACGCTGCAATCGGCTGCGACTCCACCAGGGAAATAGTCACCAGCAATCTAGCACCGCAGGGTTTTCCCCCAGATCGTTCGATGCACATGCGGCTGCACGTCCCCAGCCGCGCAAGGGATAAGGGGTAAGGACTGTGATCAGGCCTATGCCCCCCGCCACCCCCAGTGCCGGATGAAGCTAAGTGCGGGGCCAGTAACATATGCCGTAAAGGGGCCCTAAATAAATAAATAAACACGCCGAAATATTAAAACACGTTAAAAAAATCGTAGAGTCATTGTATTTTTTCACTCGCGATACGGCCAGATAATAATAAAACCATTAATACCCGCTCGTTCGTAAAAGTCGAAGGCGGTATAGTACTGTAGTGATAGAGCAAGTGCAGAATCACTGAACCGGAGTTGATAGCTTGAAAGCATTTAGCGCGGGGCCCTTGAAAGTGCGGGGCCCGTAGCATTATGTAGCTACTTGTGCTGCTACGATCATCCGGCACTGCCCCCCGTCACCCCGGCTCCCTTCTTGTCTGAATGCCATTGCAGAGAATCGGGGTGAGAATTGGGGCCCGGTCCCGTGCACCTGGCATCGGAAACTGTATTTCTACGGCGACTCTGGCCACGTGGAAATCAGCCGACGTGAAGGGCCGTTCTGACCAGCCGGAGTTGCCGATGCTTGGCCACGCTTTGGCTACGTTCGCAATAGAATCGCAGGGAGAGAAAAAATCGCCTTGTACTGCATGAATTTTTCATGGCAGAACGCTGCTGCTGCTGCCGCTGCCGCACCGTTACACTTCCCCACAACGCATTCGTTCTCGGGTAAAAAAACATGTTGCTTGCGGTGTATGCGTGTGCTTTGCAACAATGTTTAGATTTTTGTTTCAATCGAAGCATTGCGATAATGTAAAGAAACTTACAGAAAATGTGTAATGATTTCGGGGCGGATATTAAGACATAGTAACCACCTCTGCCATTAAAACACAGCAACTGTACAATGCATCTTCTAATGCTCCCAAGAAAATCAATATCATTGTTATCATTATTACTCTTACTACGCTAGTTTATCCAGTAAAGCCTCACAGAGAGAGTCTCAAGGCTCGTTTTCAGGAGGCTCCTGCCAAGTGTTTGCAGTGTGTGTGGGGTGAGGGGGTGATGATCGCTATGCATATGCAACTGAATTATAAGGAGATGCAGTTGCTACATGTAATTTCAAACAAGCTGTTTGCAAGTAACTTTTCAGCATTGGGATGTGTGGCTAACACCGTTAAATTCCAACTAATGTTAACCGAGTTAACATCTCACCACCGTAGCGAGATGTTAACTACCTCCCCCGGTATACAAGAGGTTGTGGGTTCAACTCCGACTGGAGTTTCCATGTTCTCCCCGTGATCACATGGATTTTTCTCCGGGTCCTCCGGTTTTCCCCTCCACATTTACAATCAACTTCACGCGTTCACAGTATTTGGCTGGTGCTATAAATTTCCACGTGATAAGCCACATCCGTAATGAGCTATAATTTGTGATCGCAAGGTCGCTTCTGAAAAAGAGCTGTATAGCTCGGTGGGACTTCTTTCCCGGTAAAATAAAAATAAAATGTTTCAATAGTGTTTAGTTTTTTTAATCCAAAAGCGAAAGTCAATGTCAAGGGAAGGGTAGGTTTTGAGTTTATACTGCACGTTTGTTTATTTCTTTTCATCCATGAGCGGAAACCAGAGAACCCGGGAGGACACCCATTGCACAAACCGAGGGGAGAAACAGAGCAGTCTTGGACTATACTCTTTGGTTCTTTCGGTAAAGTCACGTAGTTATAGATAAATGATGGCAGTCGTCATCAGGCATGACGACCGCTTGTGTTGCGATCGAAACGTCGTGTTTTATTTCATTCCCAACCACGTGACTTTTACCGAAAGAACCAAAGAGTATGGAATTCCTGCAGTCACGAAAGCTTCAAATCAAGATTCAGCCTTGGGCTGCAACTCACGACATTCAAAAACCTCGTCGCGCATCGCCGGCCGGCCTGCGACAAGTCGGGTACCTGATGGAGTAGAGTACGTTTCCGTTCTTGAAGATCCTCAGGAGCTTGTTGTCAGTGGTCACCTCATGGAAGTTTGCTCCCTTCTCATTGGCAAAGAACAAATCGGGCTTCCAGATGGAGTCCAACATGGACGGGTCGAGGTCAAGGGAGTCATCCGGATACTCGGAGTAGGCGAGCCGCGGGTCGTTCCACTGCTGCCTCAGGAAGATGTTCAGTCGGTAGTCCTGACGGGAGACACACGGGTTGGAAACACGCGCGATAACAAGTAGGCCTGCGGTCGTAGTTTCAGCTCGGCCTTGTGCCCCTCGCTTGCTCTCGAAAGACGCACGTGTGGCCCGGCCAAGGCTTGGCTCACAGACATCCTGAGCGTGGCTGAGATGATGCAGAGAGGGCACAGAGATGCACGGAATCGTTTGCGATCTGGCCACTAATGATAACTCAACCAAGTGGCCCGTCACATGGAAATTCATAGCGGCCAAAGACACTTAAACGCGTGACGTTGATTCTGAACGTGGAGGGAAGGAAGAGGAGGACCCGGAAAAAAAATCCACGCGACCACGGGGAGAGAGACACGCAAACTTTACATATACAGGAGTCAAGGTCGGGATCGAATCCACGCGCTCCTGTATACCTGGCAAGGTAGTTAACATCTCGCCACCGTGGCGCTCGCAGCTAGCTCGACTTAAGGGCTTTGAGCCAGAACCACGCCCGAGCTGAGTCGTGACTAAGAATCGGAATCGCAATCTTAATTCACACTGCAGGAGGAATCCGAAGAGCCATGAAGATCTTTCTCACAGACGTTCAGTATGGGCAGGGGTCAGGATAACGGGCCCCTGAGATATTTCGCTGCAAGTTTTAATTTCCACTTTTTTTGTTGTTGCAAGAATTAAGATCGCAGCACCTGCCTCGCATATGTCCTCAAGGGCTATCAGTAATTATTCACACTCGGAATGAATTGGGCGCTTGCTGAAGAACACTATAATCCTGCACGACCGACAGACGTCTGTTCCATGCGTGCGTTTAAATACAATGCGCCGAGACAAAAAATAAAAACGTCGTACAACATGCTCGTTCTATTATTTTCACGGTTGATAGATCACTCGGCGGAGTGAGCTCACGCGCTTTGCTGCATAAAGCAGTGGATGCATGCCGGTGGGGGTTGGAGGTGTTTTGAGAGTAAAACCAAAACAATGCGTCAAGGTCAACTCCACATTGAAGTCAGTCCTCCAATTCATAAAACAACGGAGACGCCGTTTATAGCGGGTCACGCAGTGAGCGTGTGTGGCGGGGCGGGATGACCTGAACGTGCACAGACGGCAATTAAAACGAAACGCAGAGGGAAGCATAAATTACTTAAATTACCTACAAGGAAGAACAGAAAAAAAACCGTCACAATTGGATGGCCTCCCGATACCTCTTACTGTCTGCGGTTGCCGCAGATGCGCTTGGGTTGCCCATCAATCAACTGTGCGTGAACGTTTCATTATAAGAAGAAGACGGAGGGAGGGAGGGAGGGAGGGGAGGGAGGGAGGGAAAAGTGTTGAGATACACGAGAGGACTGAACTGCTGTGTTAAAGATAAATTATATGACGCCTTACAAGTGTTCATTTTTATCCGACGAGCACTTTCTACAACGGTGCCATTCCCTTCAAGGGCTTATCAAGTGCAGGATCGCTGTATACCGTTCAGTCGCACGCACGCCCCTCCGTCATCCTCTTAACCCTTCCCCAACAAACTAAAACACAGCAATCAGCTCCAAAGAAATGAGTTTGCCAATCTAGATTAGTTTCAATTGCATCGCTCCGGTGGCTTCATAATATCGTGGAGGAGGGGCGTTCCAGACGGCCACAGAAGCGCATCTGAAAGCGCCGCGTGACGCGATGAACGCCTTTTTTCTTCTTGGTTCTTTCGGTAAAGTCACGTAGAAGGGAAGTAATAAAATAATAAAAATAAAACATGTTATTATATTATTTTATTTTATTATGTTTTATTCCTATTATTTTATTACTTCCCTTCTACGTGACTTTACCGAAAGAACCAAGAAGATGAATCCCTGCAGTCACGAAAGCTTTAAATCGAAATTTTATTATGTTTTATTTTTATTATTTTATTATTTCCCTTCTACGTGACTTTACCGAAAGAACCAAGAAGATGAATCCCTGCAGTCACGAAAGCTTTAAATCGAAATTTTATTATGTTTTATTTTTATTATTATATTATTTCCCTTCTACGTGAAGGGAACCTACGTGCATTGGGTGCAACTCCTATACAAGAACGTCACCAGTGCAGTCAGGTGTGCAGTGGGCATATCACCGCCATTTGCCATCAGCGTTGGAGTGCACCAAGGATCGGCCCTGTCACCACTCCTGTTTATCCTGTGCATGGACACGATCACTGCCGACCTGCACACGCCCCTTCCATGGTCAATTCTCTACGCGGATGACGTCCTCCTCTCAGATGAAGAGAGAGGAGAAGTGGAAAGACAAACGCGCCTGTGGAAGGAACGTTTGGACGAAAACGGGATGAGGTTCAACATCAAAAAGACGGAGTATATGGAGTGTGGCCCCCAAACCGACGGCACCATCAGTATTGACGGAGAAGATCTGCAGAAAGTGACGGACTTTAAGTACCTGGGCTCCACCATCAGCTCAGATGGTAGCATCACGACTGATGTGAGGTCACGAGTCAATGCGGCGTGGATGAAATGGAGGCAAGTCACCGGAGTCCTCTGTGATCGGAAAATGCCGGATAGGCTGAAGGGAAAAATATACAAGACCATCGTCCGACCGGTGGCACTCTATGGATCCGAGTGCTGGCCAGCCACAACTGTACACGAACAAGCTCTCCACACCATGGAGATGAGGATGCTCAGATGGAGCCTCGGGCTCACTCGATGGGATCGTGTCAGGAACGAAGACGTTCGGAAGCGACTTGGTGTGGCCCCCATTGCGGACAAGATGCTTGAGGCAAGGCTTCGGTGGTACGGCCATGTGATGCGAAGTGAAGAGTCATCAGTGGCCAAGACTGCCGTGCGTATTGAGCCAGAGGGCCGCCGTCCACGCGGACGTCCGAAGAAGCGATGGATGGACCGAATAAAGGAAGACATGAAGACGGTCAACGCATCCCCTGAAGATGCCCTGGACCGAGCCAAATGGAGAAGACAATGCCGAAAAGCGGACCCTGCGCCACAGCGGGAACAGCGCTAGGAAGAAGAAGATTTCCCTTCTACGTGACTTTACCGAAAGAACCAAGAAGATGAATCCCTGCAGTCACGAAAGCTTTAAATCGAAATTTAACACCTTCTTTGTTCGATGGCTGAGCCAAAAGCCTCCCCTGCTGCTGCGAGGATGACGACCGGAGTTCGCGTGACGGTGGTTTACGCTCCTTGAGATCAGCGAGGAATTGTGGCGGTCCATTTGTGGCGAGCGCTTTGTGTGTAAATGAGCGTAGACTTTGAGAAAGATAAAGAGTAAACATCAAATGAGAATGAGACTTATTCCAAGGAAGTTGATAGCACACAGCAGCGTTGCAGTTGAGGTGCCAGTAGTTTATGTTGCCTGAAGAAAATATTAAAATACAATAACTTCATCGGTACGTCTTCAGGTTGGAAGACGTACCAAGGTTCCCACAAGGCCATGCAGGAGGGGACCAGTCTGGCGGCAGCTACAGTGAGGGAAAAAAGTATTTTTCTGGATTTTTTTGTTGTTATTCTGTCTCTCACTGTTCAAATAAACCTACCATTAAAATTATAGACTGATCATTTTATTTGTCAGTGGGCAGACGTACAAAATCAGCAGGGGATCAAATACTTTTTTCCCTCACTGTATCGGAGAGTGCGGTAGTTGTATCGCTACGGTCCTCTGCGGTGAGTAACAATGTCTTTAAAAACAACGGCGCTCCTACGCCTCTCTAAATAAAATGAACGCTAACCGCTTGCACCGTTCCGAGATTCAGCAACGAACGGGGACACCCGCCCTGCAACTTGCAAACATCTCGGAATGGGAAAGGGTTCAGATGAACATCGACAGGACATTGGTGAAAAAGCGCTTCATAGCTCATAGGATTTCTCCACAAAAAATAAAGATTCAAATTATGATTATTTTTTTTCATACTGGACACAATCCAACCTTCTAATCAATGACAATTACAAAAGTCGAACATTTCGATTTAAAGCTTTCGTGACTGCAGGGATTCATCTTCTTGGTTCTTTCGGTAAAGTCACGTAGAAGGGAAAATAATAAAATAATAAAAATAAAACATAATAAAATAATAAAAATAAAACAATTAAATAATTCTCACGACGTTTCAGCCACAACGCAAGACCTGTTCTCCACCTGAGGACTGGCTGCTTGCGTTGTGGCTGAAACGTCGTGAGAATTATTTTATGTTTATTTTATTTTATTATTTTCCTTCTACATGACTTTACCGAAAGAACCAACAAGATGAAAAGTCGACAATGTTAACAGGCAACGTAAACGACTGGCACCTCAACTGCTGCTGTTTGCTATCGACCTCCTTTAAAGAAGTCTCATTCTCATTTGATGTCTAACTCCTAATGTTCCATTTGGTCTACACTCATTACACACAAAGTGCTGGCCACAAAAATACCTCGCTGATGTCGTCAAGGAGGATGAACCACCATCACGCGAACTCCGGTCATCATGCTCGCAGCAGCAGCAGCAGCAGCGGCTCTCGGCTCAGCCATCGAACAAATTCGGTGGTCACGGATTTCAGATGCGCTTCTGCGGCCGTCTGGAACGCTCTTCCTTCCGATATTAGAAAGCCATTGGAGCTGTACACTTTCAAATCATCTAGATTGAAAGCTCATTTCTTTATAATTCCTTTTTGTATTTAGTTTGTCGTCCTTACCCTGCGATTATCACGGTTGGCTACGTACGGCGTGACAGAAGTTCAACCTAGATAAATACAAATGTATATCTACGAATCTCTATTTCTTTCATACTCTTAGCTCTTTCGGCAAAGTCACGTAGGTAAAAAATGAAATAAAAATTAATAAAATAAAATAAAAATCACGACGTTTCAGAGCCTACACAAGTCTCCGTCATCAGGTGGGACCGTCAAATCTGGCTGTGACGGTCCCACCTGATGACGGAGACTTGTGTTGCCTCCGAAACGTCGTGATTTTTATTTTATTTTTATCAATTTTAATTTCATTTTTTACCTATGTGACTTTGCCGAAAGAGCTAAGAGTTTCGATTTAAAG